GTCCCAGCTACTAGGGAGGCTGAGGCAAGAGAATCACTTGAGCCCAAGAGTTTGGGGTTCCTGTGAGCTGTGACACTACAATTCTCTACAGAGGGCAACAAAGTGAGACCTCTGTCGCAAAAAAAAAAAAAAAAAGAGATAGTGGACAATGATAACAACTACAACAACAATTCATGACATGTTTGTCATGTGTCCAGGCACTGTTCAAGAGACACCATGTATGGGCGGCGCCTGTGGCTCTAAGGAGTAGGGAGCTGGCCCCATATGCCAGAGGTGGTGGGTTTAAACCCAGCCCTGGCCAAAAACTGCAAAAAAAAAAAAAAGACTCTGTATTTTTTTTATTATTAAATCATAGCTGTGTACATTAATGCAGTCATGGGATACAGTGTGCTGGTTTTATATACAATTTGAAATACTTTCATCAAACTGGTTAACATAGCCTTCGAGACTCCATGTATTGATTCAACTCAGGTACATTTGTTTTATTTTTTATTTTTTATTTTTTTTGAACTCAGGTACCTTTGTTATTCTCACTTTTCTGTGGAGGAAACTAAGGCACGGAGAAATTAAGTAACTTGCTAAAGGTCACAGGTCTGCTGAGCAATGATGCTGGGATCTTAATCCAGGCTTTCTGGTCCCAGCCCCTACTCTCCTTACCTGGCAGATGCAGCTGGGGTCACGCTGAGAGTGACCCAGACACACTGCCCTGATGCTGACTTCCAGATCCAAGAACTAAGGAGAGTAAGGCAATCAGTTCCTGGGTTATGAATCAAATAGGATCTGTAGGTCTGTTCTTAAGCTGAATTTTTATGTAAGTTGGAATAGGTACATTTACCTATTACCTGTTATAGGCCCCATTCGTAAGTGCTAGTCCTGCATCAGCTGGATGTTTGTAACTTGGGGGCTGCCTGTAATAAGGGCCAGGAAGCACAGACCTCAGGCCAGCCTCTTGTGTCCCTCCCTACCAGGGTCCAGTCACCATTATTCACCTGGGCAGAGTTTGAAAGGCTGGCTGACCTGCAGATTACTTTATTGTTTTGCCCCTCTTCCCCTGTGTCCAGAGTGGGGTTCCTTCTTTACCAGGGAGTTGAGCCATGAGTCCCACCTCAGAAAGGCTTGGCTCCCACTCCTGCCAGGGCTAAGGAGAGGGGCCGGGCCTAGAGCACCAAGGCTTGACTTGCATTATTCAGCAAACTGAGTCAGGATCAGGAGTGTTGCAGAGTCCCTATCTTCATAGAATCTGGGAGACTGGTCAGGGAGACAGATCTACAAACATGAAATAATTGCGCAGGTATTAAGAGGGACACAAACAAAGCCAACTCAGGGATTGAGCAACACAATAGCTCCCTGGAGCTGTGATCCTCCAGGGGGTGGGAGGGTGGGGCCCTCACCTGGTGCCTCAGGGCCCCTCTCAGCAACGCCCTTCCTACACCAGCTCGAGCTGCACAAAAGGAGGCAGGTCCCACCCCTCTAACCGCCCTTGGGCTAACTGCCCTTGGGTTGGGAATTGGACTCCACAGAGGGCTGCGGCACAGAGGTGGGTCAGAGGCTCCCTGAGCAGCTGTGGCCCTGGCTGAGGGTCGAAGGAGAGGAGAGCAGCTCTGCGCTTCCTCAGGAGGGTCAGGGCTGACACTCGCAGCCAGGCCAGCTGGGGTCTCTTGGCTGAACAGTAAGGGCACCTCTCTGGTACCTGCCTACCCTTCCTAGGCCTGGTAGGGCCTCCTCCTTCCCCATTCCCTTACCTGAGGCCCAGCACAGGCTGGGTGCTGGGCATGGGTGCGGCCCAACTCCGGCTGTATTGACTGACCCCTTGCTGACCTCAGGGGTCTCAGGCACTCTAGCTCTGGTTATGGGCAGGGTTTGAGGCTTCAGCGGACAGGGCCAGGCCCAAGGCAGCCTCTGTGGGGAGGGGACCCAAGGACAACCCCTACCTTTGCTCCTCTGGACTCAGGGGAGAGATTCGGGAGAGATTCGGCAGGTGGGAGAAGAGACCCTGGGAAAGGGTGGGAGGCCTGGGGGGGTGGCTGGGCCTTTGAGGAGGTGCCTGTGGCTGGTGCTGGGAGGGAAGGAGTTAAGGCAGTAGGGGGGGCAGCCTATGGCAGGAGGACACACCTGTGCGCAGGGCGGCGGGCGGGGCCCAGGTAAGGAGTCTGCGCTGCCCAGCAGGCAGGCTGAGAAGGAAGGAGGAAGAGTGAAGCCCAGCCAGGGTCTAGGACTTTGACTCTGGGTCCTTGACACCTCTTCCTCTCGGCCCTCAGTCTCTGGAGGGCTGGTGGGCTTGGTAACAGGTAAAGGCTACCAGGTGAGGGGGCCTGGGGCTGAGCTGGGACTGCAGAAGGGGATGAGGGCCAGGGAGTTGGTGGGAGTTGGGGAGACAGGCTTTGGAGGTACAGGGGGAAGGGGCTCAGAGTCTGAAGGCAGATCGGTGAAGGTCTGGTGAAAGGCTGCCTGGGCCTGGGCGATCATCGGCACTCAGGGTGGGGCTGGTGGTTGGCGGCTGTACTCACCCGGAAGTGTCCCCAGGGACACGGGTGGTAGGGGGATGGGAGCCAAGGATCTACAGCTTCTTCTCAGGGAGCCTGGGCATGGGCCCACCTGACTTGAGGTGGGCAAGCTGGGTGGGGGCCCTCGTCTTACCCAGCAGTGTTTGGGTGCCTGTTGGGAGTCTCTAATACTGCCGGGTAATGATGGAGGCCCCTGTCCTGTGTCAGCGACATCCATGGCCTCAGGCCCCTGGTCCTTAGCTGGCTGCAACCCCTTTCCCACCTCCCTATCCAGCCTAGGCACCTGGTCCTGCTCATGAGGTGGCTTTTATTGGTTGGCTGCCATGAAGGGAGACTATAGCCCCAGTTCTTCCACCTGTGTGATTTGTCATCTGGTGGGTCCAGAATCCACAGCCGATCTTGAGCTTGGGAATAGCTCATATATTTAAGAGACCTCATCTGGTCTGCAGCTAGGTGCCCTGTAGCAACTGGTCATCTCTAGTCTGGAGTTCCTTATTGG